ATTTCCCATAATGTTCCAATATTACTGAGGCATCAATTTCCCGTAATTTATTTCATATCATTATTATTTCAAATAAATCCCCAAATTAATTATCACAAATTATCCATAATCTTAAAATCATATTTGAATCCATTCAGGGGCATCGCTAGCCTTTACAATCTCAGGGGGCCCAGATAAAAAATTTATATGGGGGGCTTCGCCCATTGTACATTTTTAAAATATGCTAACTCTAGACAATTATTCTGAATTTTTTATTTTGTCTTTTATAATATTTTGCATACAAAATAAACTAGCATACAAATAATTAAAGCAATACAAGACATTTCTAAAAATAATATTTTTTAATACAAAATCTACTATTTACAATATAAAATATTTTCGATTGCTGATATAAAAAAATTTTACGCCAAGAAATACAAGTGATAAAAAAGGTTAATTAATTCATACATATGCCTCAATTGATAATGGTTTTTAAAAACCACATATAGCTATATAATTTTAGAAGTTACATTGACAAAAGGTAATGAAACTAATATAACTCTCTGTTACCGTTTTAGACAATGTTTTATAGAATGGACTAATAAGAAAATATTTATAGGCCTAACTAAATCAACTATTCTTGAAGAAAAAAAAATAAACGAGCAATCCAAATCATAAAACTATATGGTGGCTAAAGCTTCCTCTTAGATGTCATGATGGAATCTAGATAAGTAATCGAGAAATTTTTTGTGAGATATTAAATTTCTAAAAGATTATCTTCCATATTTAATGATATATAAACGACTACACAGTTGACCTATATTGCTTATCTAAAATATGCAATCACTCTCAGCAGCTATAGTAATAATCTTATATTACATAGTCACATAAATAATAGATGCTGGTTAATTTGCAGTCATAGTCATGACACTCACGATGGTAACCCATATCAGAATTTATTATGTTAGATAAATTGATAAAACAAAAACAGTAAAAATATTTAGAAAAAATTATGCAAATATATTGAAGTTTTGAGTTATTTACACGGCAAGGAAGCCATATTAGAAATGAAACATTTTGTAACTATAAAATAAGAACCAGAGAGATATGATTAAAGTAATTAAGATTTTATATATTATTGTCGCACCGCCTCTAGTTGGTATAATATATCTTAAAATAATAATAGATTGTAATAATATCAAAAATATATTCGTATTAAAAATTTAACTCAAAACTGTTTTTCAAAGAAGAAAAAAATAGCTTTCCTAAAAGCACGTAAAAAAAGAGAAGAAAAGATATCCAATTTATTACATACATTCTGGGATGAATAATAAGAAGTTTAATTTAAAAAATATATTAAATAAATAGATGGCATTAAATAATTGAATGCAAATTGTTACTTATATTTATTATCAAAAGCATTTATTATTAAAATTTTAAAATTATTAACTGTAATATATTATATAACTGTCAAATATGCCTGCAAAAGTGGCATTATAAGTAATATTTTATAAATAATTATATATTATAAAGGATTATAAACTATATATCTACTTACTTTTTATAAATAAATATCTTATACTCATTTGGATTTGGACCTTGAAAATAATTTTAGGAAGAGACATGATAATTAAATTTAAAAATCAAAATGTAGTTGAGTAGTGATTTTGAACTCGGCTAATTACAATATTAAATTTGTTAATTTTCAATTAATAAATGATTATATTAATTTAATTAAGGTTATATAATAATTTAAATAATAAAAGTCAATTAAGCTTCAACTGTTAATGCTAAATTAATATTTATTGAGTGATATTGATATATTTTTAACACCGAATTTGATTGCAAGCTGACAGAGTGAACATATAATTTATATGTATAATCTAATCTAATAATTAAAATAGTATTCATTTAATAAAAATTTAGATAGTTTTATTAATTTTTAAATAATGAAATTAAATCTATATATTACTCACTAGAATTATAAAAGAAATCGTTCAGGGGGCAATTAAAAATATTTATTTTTAATTCAAAGGGATATTAAGGAGCAATTTTTTTAAAAAAATTTTTGCTTCAGGAGGCTATTCAAATTTTTCAGGGGGCTCGGGCCCCTATGCGCCCCCTCCTAGCGACGCCACTGAATCCATTTACCACTTTGTTTATACCAGATCTTCATATTTTATAAATATATTCTATAATAAATCTCAAATTATTATCAAAAATTCAATAATTATTCAATTCCTTCTCCATCATTTGTACCAAATTAACGATTTCTTTCATTTATCACTCACATTTTTTTCTTTCAGCAATTAAAATAATTCATTCAATATCAGAACCATTACATAATCATAATTCATTCAACAAATTCATAAGCCTAATTTATTTTCCAAATTAAAACTTCATTATCAACCACATATTCATATTTTCCCAATTATCTGTGTATTATTTCATTATCGAAATTCGGATTTACATTCAAATCTTTTTCCCAAATTTAATTTCAAGAATATATCTAATACATTCATATTGCTCAGCCTAATATCACATATAAAAAATAGTTCATACTTCAATACGATTCATTCACTAATATATTTCATTTGATCAGGTTTATTCCCTAACATTGGCAATCTCTGGCATATATATAACTTGACTTTATGTAATTCTTTATTGCAATCAAATAAACCATTTATACAAATTATATTAATCATAATTAATCTGATAACAACATCATAATAATACAATCATAAACATCCAATATAAACATCCTCATCCTATTTAATAATCCCCAGCAATCATTCTCGAACTTTCTTTCATCTCTAAAATCCTATGATGTAGATTAATTATTCTTGTCTGTTTATCCCTGTGTTCGGTAGTTTATCACTACAATTTCGAAAAAAAATTTAAATATCTTTTTTGAAATAACTTTTGTATCGATAAACATTTGTTCTGTTTGGGAAAAAAAACATTTAGGCTATTTCCAGTCAGAACGTTTATCAAAGCGGTTTCTGTCGCATGTTTCCAGCATTTTTTTATTTCCATACATAGGACAATAATTTGTAAAATATACTTTTTTTTAATGATATAATATTTAGAAATGGTTCTATCTCAAATCAATTTAATCGTTAATAAAAAAAACAAATAGTTTTGATTTCCATAAAAGATTTAATGACTTAGATAGAATTATCATAAAAACAAATTAGTTCCACAAATTATTATCTATTGTTTCGAAATAAAATAAATTACTAGAAATAAACCTCATAAATAGCTTTGAGAAGCCTGGAAGTGACAGAAATGTTTTTTCTTCAAAATATAAGGTTTATTTTGAAAAAACAATGTTTGGTTCTAAAAAAAACAACATGTTTCGAGAAAAACATAAAAATAGTATTATGCATACCAACCATCTTCAGAGCAAGCAAATTCTTTGCTGCAAAAAAATGGAGTAGATTATTATACTTTCATCATAATGGGCGCTTACAATTTTTTTTATTTGCACCAGAATTGGGGAATTTATCTTTTTTTGGTGTCATTAAGGAGTTATGCAGATATTTTTATTTGTAGCTAAAGTATTCTTCTATTTGCACCATAAATGAGGCGTAGAAAAATTTTCTATTCGCACCATAGTGGGGTATATAGTTTCGGTATGTTTATAAATTTTAATTAGAATTAATTTATCTTCAGCTAGATTTCTAGGTAATTAAATTTTTAAATTGGATAGAATCATTTTTTAGTAATAAACTCAAAATCTTTATAAATTACAACATAAATACACTTCAATTTACAACTCATAAATAAACTAAAAAAATTTTCTGCTCATTTTCTAAATTTTAAATTATTTTTGAAATTTTTTTACCAATCTCCATTGTTTTCAGAACTATTTGTGATTCATCATAATTTAGGATTTCTTGCCATTGATACTCAGACCCCTCCCCTCCTGGCCAAGACATGACAAGGGCGGAACTTTACTTATATATATATTGCCCCATTGTTAAATCTGGAATAATATTGATAAAAACAAAAATATATAAAGAGATAAAAGAACATGAAGAAAAAGATAGTAAAAAAAAATGTGGCGATGAATATTATTTTATTTCCCTTTATTTCCAGAAATCAGATTTTTTTATATAATTTTAAAATCCTAGATTGTAAATTTAAAAAAAGACATCTAATTGCTATTTTACGCTCCATTACTATTATAAATAAATGAAGTATTTGTGGTTTCCTTTATTTCAGAGTTTTCACTTTTTAAACTAATATTGGATGTATACTGAGAATTATTGCCCTCTACATTTTTTTTGGATAACAATATTGTATTTTTAAATAAACTACAATCGATTCCAATAAAATTAAAAATTTCTTTATTACGCTTATCTATTATAATAATAGTCAAACTAGTATCAATAATATAATTTAATAATCTAAAATATCAATTGGAATCAAAAAAATTTAATTTTAATACTTCGGTGTTGTTAAAAAACCCGATTTAGGTCGATTTTTAAAAAAAGCCTGTTAAAGATTTTAGTCAAAATAATATTATGTATGTCTAAAAATTTTACTATAGATGACAGAAACTCCATTTGCCAAGTCTCAAGGCATACATATTATTAACTTGCTCAATTCTTAATCGGGTGTCGGGTCCTTTTAAAAATGACTGTAATCGGGCTTTTTAACAACACTACTACTAATCTCTATTATAAAATAAATTATATTATATTCTTTAGTCGCTTTATTTCCATAATAAAGCTATAATATTATCGTTGTAAACTAGTTTCCTCATTGTATTTTCTTATAATGAAAAAGAATAATTAAAATAGTAAATGCATTTCTCAACACTAAGATTTTGTCCAATCTCTCACTTCATTTAAATTAAATGATAAACGTTCTTATGCCCTGTTACACTATATAAAAGTTCTTGTTGATATTATGTCAATAGAATTAAGAATTATTTAGACATAATGATGCTAAGATATATTTCTGTCCACCTGTCTCATCGCGTCATTCTATAAAAATTATACATTATTCATTATTTTTGATACGAAGCTATTAAAAATGTCTGCGAATATTGATAATGAAATCGATAATATATTTCCTAAATATCCCGTTACAAATGATATATCTGTCTTGAACGATGAAAATGAGTAAGATAAGAAATTTATTAATTCATTTTAATTTATTAAGACAAGAAAAGAATGTTGAAGAAAATGATCGAAAAATGGATTCACAAGCAAATAATATCGTGGAAGCAGAAAATTCGAATGATATCGATTTTGAAAGTAAAGATGATGCCCTAGATATTGAATCTAATGAAAGTATCTAATATTTTATTAACTATATCCATTTTTTATTTAGTTGATAATCAAAATAATTTATCAAATGATTTTAATGAAGATAACACACTTTTTAACCAACAACAATCAAATAATATGCATATGAATGGTGGCATAAATCCGATGAACATGTTGAGAATGAATAATCCAAATTTTCAACAACAAATGTTAATGGCCATGCAAATTATGAGGGCCAATATGATGAATAGATTTCAAACCCCTAATCCAATGTTAATGATGATGCAACAACGTTTCATGGGAAGGAATCCCTGTCCTCAGAATATTGCTGTCAATAATTCAAGAAATACCATAACTCCAGACTTAAATACAAATTCTGATGACATTGAAAAAAATGAACATGTAGTTTTATATATGAATAAGAACTATTTAATCATAGATTTTATATGAATTAAATGATACACCAATAAATGGTTATTCCTGCTTTAAAAATTTTAATTTGCTATTTTTTAAGGAAATAAAAACAGACAATTCTTTGGAGGACAATGGGAAACCCCAAGAATCTCAACCTTCTAATGTTGATGCTGATCCAGGTGAAACTATGGATACTTTAGATAACAATGAAGTAAAAGAAAGCTCTGAGAATTATGATCAAGATTGTGATCATTCTCCAAGAGAGGGAGATTTTAAGCGACCTATGCAAAATCAATATACTTCTAGACACAGGGGGCCTCATCAACAGAGAATGATGATGTTTAACAATATGGTACCTGGTCAACACCAACGTATGCTTATGATGATGAATGTCATGAGAATGGCTGCTGCTGTTAATAACATGACAAATATGAATAATAACTTGATAGGAGGCCAACCATTTAACATGAATCCTGGATTGAATAATGAATTTGTTGGTGGTATGAATAATATGGTAGGTAATGTTAGATCAGGAGCAACACTTGGAAATATGTTTGGGGCTATGCCTCCATTTGGCGGTAATAGCCTGACAGGTATAAATTCAAACATCATGCCTTCTACCCCCACTCTTAATAACCAATTTAGACCAGATGGTATATATATATTCATTATTTTATGATAAAATTTATAGTAACATAAATGATAATTAATATCGTATCTTGACTATGACTCAGTTTTTCTTATATTTTTATTAGTTTTTTAAATTTAATTTAATATAAAAAAATTAAAGAAAATTAATTTAATTTAGTAAAAAATTCTTAGGGAATTACATTTTTTACAGGATTGAACTGACATTTAGCATTTTCTTAAAATATTGGATCAGACTGAGATTTTCAAAAAACCAATCTGATCTTATATTTTTTATTGTTTAAGTTATATTATGATTGTATATATAATTAAAATTTTTTATTTTATATTTGTAATATTAATAAAATTATAAAAGAAACCAAAATTGAATTTATTTATGTTTAAAAAAATTAAAATATTTTAAAAGATAGAAATTAAAAATTTGTTTTTTTGTTATATCTGCAAAAAAAGATTTTAAAATATCTGATAAGTTACATTAAGCTAGCATTCTAAATGGGTAACTCAGTATTTTCTCCAAAAGTAAATTATTCAAGCTTGGATATTTTGCCAACAGTTGGCAGAATAGTTTGGGCATCTATTGTTGAAATTTTGAAGCTTATGTAAAAATATTTTGACTGAAATCTTATAACCTTTTTAAAAAATCATCTAATTCAAGCATTTTGGGCTTAGTTGAAATGTCTGATTTAACATCAAAACATCTGATTTGATAGCTTCAAACTAGGTATTCATGGTGATTTTTTTTAAATTTTATGGGCCATAACAAATTTGACATAATTAATGAGGTGAAATGAATCAATATCTTAAATTATAGAGCATTTATAAAATACCATTTAAAAATAAAAAAATATTATAAACTTGATAAAAAATCAAAATATATCATTATATATTACATATGTATTACCAAAAAAGAATTAATAATTAGTTCAAAGGAAAAATTAAATATTTTTATATAAATTATAAATTATTAAATAGTTGTTAAATAAAATTTATAAATCTTACATTACCTTTTTATAATATGGGTGAAAATTATATTAAGGATTACATTTAGATATTTTTCAACTTGTAATTTCCAAATTAACTTTTCATAATAAAAAAAAAATTAATTACAATATTAAGAATTAAATTTAAGTCATTTAAATATTGCTTATATAAACTTGAAAATATTTATCAACTTGCAATACCTATATATTTTTTATTAACTTTTCTTAATAAATTATTTGAAAATCTTTGTTTAAATATACTTAGAAAATATTTCTCAACTTGCACTTATATTATTTTTTCATAATTTGAAAAATGAATACCATTAAGAATTAAATTGTCATAATATGAAAAATTAATGAATACCGTGGTTTAAATAAACTTAGAAAATATTTATCAACTTACCATTCCTAGATTATATTTTCATAATATGGAAAATTAATTACATTGAAAAGAAAATTTAAGTCATTTGGAGATTTTTATTTAAATAAACAGAAAATGTTTTTCAACTTGCAATTCTTACATTCTTGTAATAATATGAAAAATTAATTAAATTTAAGTCATTTGAATTTTTTATAATTAATTTAATAAATTTATCTCAACCTGCAACCTACATTCATGAAAAATATGTATAATATTTATTATAAGTAATTTAAATGTTAAAATCTTTGGTTTAATTAAACTTAACAAATATTTCTCAATTTACAATTCTTACATTATCTTCATAATATGAAAAATTATTTAAAATACACTAATCAAAGTAATATAAATATATAAGAAATATATTTCAATTTATTTTTATAACATTGATATTTTACCATGTCATAATAATTATTCTTATTTAATTATTCTAAATTTTTTATTTCAAAATTTTATTCATATATTGGATAAAATATTTATAATACATTATGTAGTTTATTTATGATTTAAAATATATACAAAATAAATTTATTGTTTATTAAGTTGGCTTTATTCATTTATATTTCTATGCTGAGTTTCTTCCAAAATTATGTTTTCATTTTGAATATTCAGTAATCTTTTCTAAGATATATTAATTCTAGTTTATAAATTTTTTTAAATAATATACATAAATATTAAATACTTACTTTTACTATATTAAAAATTGGATTGAAAATAATATCTTTTAAATATTTCTAAATATAAGTAGAGTTAATTTTTTATAATTTTAAATATTAAAAAAAATATATTTGTTAAATCAAAAATTAAAATATTTTGAATTCAAAATTTCCCAAATTAATTTTAAGACAGAATAAACACTGCCATGAATATTTATATCATTTTTAATTTGATTGACTTTTGACAGATGGATGTAAAAATCAGACCTTTGGACATGTTTCAACAATATAAATGCAGCCTTAACAAGACTACATTTATTAATAAACATTGTTCATATTTTAAATAAAATAATTAACCTTATGAGAGTTAAAAAAACAAAATACCCTTTATAATTCTTAGAAGTTAGTTATTGTTTGAATAGAAAATATTAATTTTTTATTACATTGAATCTAATTTAGATTGAAAATCAGATCATTTTATATATCAGATCTGTTTTTACTAATATAGATAGGGTTGGTGAAATTTTTTGGGTTAATTTTTTGGATTAATTTTTTGTTTTAATATTGGGTTTTCTTATTTTTGTTTTAATTTATGCTCATTTAATTTTAAAGTATATATAATATTTTTTTGCTCTTGGTTCATTTAAGAAGTGCACTTCTGTTTTAGTTTTTTTTAAAATACTCTTGTTTTATTTTTTTTTGCACTTGATTGTTATATTTGGGTTACTATTGCCCCTCCCCCCCCCTCTACACATAAACAACTATTATTACTAAATTTATTGAATATATTTAATTATCAACAAACTTTATAGGTACTCCAATGCCTAATATTAACATTTCAAATAACATGATGAGGCCACAAATGTTTAATAACTTACAAACATCTATGCCTATGAATGTCTCTAATGATATGATGAGACCTGGCTTTTTACAAACAAGAACTTCTTATAATCAACAAGGGGGTATGATTCCAAATATGAATGATACCAATGCATCCAATTTTTCTCTTATGGTTTATATTTCTTTTGATATATTTTTTTATAAATACTATATTCATTCAAATATTATGGGTCATTCCACTTAAAATCAGAATAGTTTTTCGCAACATCTTTCAAATCAAATAAATTTTTCATAATGGTTAGCTATGTTGTAGCTATTATTGTTGGTACACAATTTTATTGATCCAGCTCCATTAATACTAGATATAAGCCCCTGCAATCTATTTTAAGAAATTATCAGTGTTCATTACCAGAGAAGGTTCAAATAAATTTTTTGGTAGTAGAGATGTGTTTAAAATTAACATTTTGTAAATATACCTGTTTATTAAAGTAGGATTAGAGTAAATATTTGTTTTTATTTTTTCTATTTTTTGTGGATATAATAGTCAGAGACCTGCAGAGGTACCATTTGCACCGCCCAGCCCGGTTTTAAATTTTTTAGGCCCGGCCCGGATATTTAAAAAAAAATTTTTTTAAGGCCCGGGCTGGATTTAAAAATTTAAGGCCCGGCTCGGAATTTTTTAAAATTTCGACCTGGTATATACAAAAATTCACCTATGAGGTATTTTACCATATTTTTCAGCGAGTATTATCGCTTATTATTTAAAAAATACATGTAAAAAGCTAATATTTGGAGAATATTTTATTGAATTTATAAAAATTATAAAACTGTTATTTATAAAAATGGATATTTTGAGCATATATTATATTTTATATTGCATTTATAAAAATAAAACTAATATTCATAAAAATGGTAATAATATTTGTCATATACTATAATTACATTTAAAAAAAATAAAACTAATATTTAATTTATAAAAATGGAAAATATTTTGAGAATATAATATATTGTATTTAATTTACTATTTAATTTATAAAATAAAAATAAATATAATAAATAGTATTTTGAAAATATAATCTAATTGCACAATATTAATATAATTTATTTTATAATATAAATTTTTAACAAAAGAAGATAATTGTATTATATAATATTGTAAAAAAAAATAATGAAAAATGTTGGATTAAAAACTTTCATGACTCAAGGTAAATATAATAAATGCAATAAATATTTGACAGTTTGCAAAGTAAAAAACCAGCATGATTGACGAAACCCTATACTCAAGAAAGATATTAAAAATTCACAAATTATCATGAAGAAAGAGAAGCATATCTACCTTTTCAGGTTGAAGTTTACTTCTTTTTTCTTCAAGAATTCTTCCAGTAGTGGAAAAATTCCGCTCACAGTTTGCACTTAACAAAATTGGCAATTCGCTTTGATGAGCCGCCCACCACTCTAACAAATTATCCACCTTAAATGTTTTATCTATTATTTATGTAATTATAATATTCATCATCGGGTATTGACATATTACCAGAATTACCATCGCCCCATTTGTCATAAAACGATTCAGTTTGTTTAACAGTCGTAATTTGACTGGTCGATGGTATTTCATTTACTTCCTGAGCCTCTTGTAATTTAATATAATCTTTTATATAGTTTTCCGTCATTTTGCGATCTGTCCCTGACTACATACGTAATTGCTTGAATTTGGGACAGAGAAAAAGAGAAATAAAATGATACTTGTGTAAAACAAATTTTTCAATTAAAAAATGCTTTATATTAAGTAAAATCAATTTTATTCTCCTTTTCGCTTTGAAGGGTATTACAAACTTTAAGAAATGATATTCCTTTATTTTATTGTTTTGGTAAAATATATTCTAAAAATTTAGATATGAATTATAAAAAAATATATTAATAATACTTGAATATTGGGGCTTATATAAGATATTCCTTTATTTGATTGTTTTGGTAAAATATGCTGTAAAAATTTAGATATGAATTATAAAAAAAAATATATTAATACTTTAAATAAATTTGCAGGAATAATTAGATTGATCTGTGGGTTGTTAGGTAGTGTTAACCATCACCCAATATTATATTAATCATAACTATAATATAATATAATTTTATAACCATTAACTCATAATGTAAAATTTTTTATAAAAAATATTAAGGCCCGGCCCGGGTTTAACAATCTTAGGCCCGGCGCGGATATATTTAAAAAAAATTTTTTAGGCCCGGCGGATATGTTTAAAAAATTTTTTTAGGTCCGGCCCGGGTATATTTAAAAAATTTAAAATACGGCCCAGGGCCGGGCCTGCAGGTCTCTGATAATAGTCTATACTAGATGTCACCATATCAAAAATTAATAAATTAATTTTATTAGAATTTAAATATCAATGACCTGCAAAGCTCCAAATATATAGCCCATAAGGCCAAGATTTTTAAAATTTTATATTTCTCTTTAAATTGTTGATTTTGAAAATATGATCTAGTGGCTACCTGACTAAGAATTAATATCAATTCTGTGGTAAATGGGATTTTTATATAATTTTTATTGAAATATAATATATCATTTAAACCACTTCACCCTAATTAATCTTCATAAAATACCTTTAGAATTTTTTTATATACTATAACTTTTTTATCTTCTTCTTTATCATGCATATGGTCCCACAGTCGTGGGGTTTGTTTTGATAAGTTTCTTCCATCTTAATCGAGTAAGGCATGTCCGGATTTATCTTCTTAGTCATCATAACTTTGTCTACTTGACCTTTCCACGTAACACGAGGTTGTCCTCTTCCTCTCTTCCCCGGCACCTCCATGTCCAATACTTTTCGATTTACATCATTCGTCTCCTTTCTTAGTATATGACCATACCACCTTAACCGATTTTCGTTTATCAAGTCCGCCATAGGTTGAATACCCATTTTTACTCTGAGTCTTTCGTCATATGGTCGAGTTTAGTATACCCCAAGCTCTACCGTATCAATCTCATCTCCGTGGCTTATAATAACTTTTCTTACGTAGCGTTTAATGCCCATGTTTCACTTCCATAGAGTAACACCGGTCTTACGATGGATTTGTAAGCTTTACTTTTCAACCATATTGGCATCTTCATGTCGCACATTACACAGGATATACTTCGCCATTTAAGCCATTCTTTTTGAATCCGTGCATTGACTTTTGCGCAACCTCCCTCTTGTTGTACATCGAACCTAGGTATGTAAACCTGTCTACTTTTGGGTACTTTAATTGGTCATCCAGCGATGGGATGCCTGTAACGTTCATCTTTAAGTATACCGTTTTTCGATTGACCTTTAACTAAGCGTTTTGACCACTTTTCGGCTTCTTCGAATACTTTCTCATTTGTCTCTTCGCATAGTACTATATCATCGGCATATAGCATACACCAAGGAGATGGCTTTTGGATGTCTCTCGTTATCGTGTCAATAATTATATTGAATATTAAGGACTTAGAGCAGATCCTTGATGTAATCCAATTTCAACCTGAAAAGGTTTAGAGTCTCCAATTGTCGTTCTAACACAAGAAGTGGAGGTTTCATAGATATTTTTCATAAGCCGTACATATGTGTCAGGGATATTTTGTTTTCTCAAGCACCACCATATTAAATCGCGAGGGATTGTGTCATAAGCTTTCTCCAAGTCAATAAAGACCATATGTAGGTTTCTTTTCTCCATATTTATCCATCATTTGTCTTAGTGCGAAGATCGGATCGTTTGTGGATTTGCTGGCCACAAATCCGAATTGGTTAGCCGATATTTCCACCTCGTTCTTCAGCCTTGTTACTAAGATCCTTTCCATAAGTTTCAAGGAGTGGCAAGTTAGCTTGATACCTCTGTAATTACCACAATCCTGAGGGTCTCCTTTGCCTTTGAATAAGTGTATAATCGTGCTTGCTCTCCATTGATTAGGAATTCGTTCTTCTCCCAATATCTTGTTAAAGAGGTTCGTCATGGTCCTGACTCCTTCTTGGCATCCGACCCATGCTTCCATAGGAAATTCATTTGGGCCTTTAGCTTTTCCTTTTTTCATCTTGTTCATTTGCGTCCTAACTTCATCCTCCTGAAAGAGTTCGACCATACTTATGATTGGCTCAATATCGGGAAGGAAATATTTGTCATTAGCAATATTCATAAGTTCCTTGAAATATCCTTTCCATCACCTCCTTCGGCTTCCACCTCATTTTTGACTATTTTAAGGACTCTGACATCGCGACTTTTCTTCTCCCTTATCTTGGCCAATTTATACATAGCCTGTCTCCCCCTTTATGATCCAGTTTGTTTGCCATCTCGGTGTACGCAGCATTCTTCGCTATTGCAACGGCCTTCTTCGCAGCTCTCTTTGCCTCCCTATATTCTTGATAATCCTCCGACTTTTTAAATTTATGCCACCGTCTATATAGAATTTTATTTCTTTCGATGAAATCCCTAACCGATTGATCCCACCACCATAGTTCCCTATTCAAAGCTTGGCCTCCTTTGGTCTGTCTTAGAATCTGAATCGCTGTTTCCTTTATGTCTGCTGTTAGCATCTCGCAATCGTCGTCTATGTTTCTTTCTAACTTCCTGGACCCAAGAGTGTGGAGGCTTTCTGATGGTATTTATCGTATTGTTCGTCCGCCTGTCCTTTAGCATTTCACACCTAATTCGAGGTTCATAAACCTTCCTTCTTTCCGGAAATCCTTTTCTTTCAAGATCCATGACAAGTGGACGATGTTGCCTGGCGATTACTTCTCCCGGTATTACTTTGAAATCTTTGATCCTCCATTAATCCTTTTGCCGTATAAGCAGATAGTCAATTTGACTAAAATGCTTTCCACTTCTATAATTCACAATATGATCTTCACGCTAACGATCGCCATGTCATATGCTTGCTTGTTCTTCAGACCATGCCCATAACCTCCATGATTTCGTTCATACCCGAGACGATCTTTTCCTATGTGGGCATTGAAGTCCGCCCCAATAATTAGCTTTTCTTCCTCTCTTATTCCTTGTATCTCTTTTTCCAATGAATCGAAGAATATATTTTTCTCTGATTCCATACACTCAATTTAAGACCCACATTAACCTGTCAGAACATCGTTTGACTTCTACTACCTTGTCCTTGAACGATTCGCTTAGAACGATACCGACCCCGTTTCTACG